GACCTGAGTAAGGGAAATATCAGTCCAGAGGGAGTGAGCTGTACTGGTTAGAATGGGATCCCATAAGAAACCAAGTTTTTTACAATACTTTTTTCTTAAAGATCTACTGAAATAGTCATATTCAGAAATATCTAATAAAAATTGACTGAGTGGATTTAGTATGAAAATCTCATTAAAGTCCTTCCAAAGGGATAGCACAACATGTGTAAGTTACACTTCGTGCATAGAAACAGCTAAGAAAGAGAAATGGGCAAAAAGGTGGGTATATTTAAACTTTGTGTAGACCAGTTACAGATGAGCTGTGCACACTTTTGGCCTTTTTCTCCCCCCACCCCTTTGGACAGGACCCCACTAAACTGCTCAATTTCCCAGGCTGAGTTCAAACTTACAGCCCTCCAACTTCAGCCTCCCAGTGCTGGGAGTACAGGCATCCATCACCTCACCCTGTTTCTGGCAATTTCTTGCCTCTTCTCTTGAATGCTTTGCTAGAAATACCAGAGCCTTGGCTTTCAGGAGACTGATCCGCTTGCAGGCCATGTGGCTAACGAAGGCGAGACTCCTTTAAAACATTGTTGGTGGACCTTGTAAGCACTTGGACAAACTTCTTTGAAACTTATAGAGCCTTTCAGTACTACTACTCTGAGTTTGGTAAAAACAAATTAGTGTTTTCTTCCACCATAGTTAGAGGATTCTTCCAGTAAGTGAGAAGAGATAGCCAGCTCATACCTCAAGTGTCTCAGGCAGCTCATGACTCATATGGTTGAGTCTCACAGCATATTTAAAATTTTTTTCTTAAACATTTTGACCATTGCCTCAAAGATGGCAGACACTTTAGCCTGAGAATCAGGTCTCATGTCAACCCCTATGCTTTCTCCTAGGAAAAGAAGCTTCTGTCCTTGTGCCTTCTCTTCCTGTTCTTGTCCTCGTCATCAGCCTCCTCCTTTGCTTCTTCTCTCTTTTTGCCTTTCTTTTTCTTCCTCTGCTACCCCCCACTTTTTCTTTCTTTTGGAGTTTTCCTTTCTCTTTGGAGTAATACCAGGTTGTTTTCTTCTTGCAGTGGGGTCATCCTTTATTCACATCTCTAGAATCAGAAGTTAAAAATATCGTTATGCTTCTGTTGGCTTTTCTTCATGTTAGATAATACATTTTGTTTTATTATTACGATTGTGAAACTTTATATAATAATCATGAGCCTGGTTAGCAATGCCATATGTACTCATTGCAGATTGATGAGGCCAAGGCAGGAAGATCAATGCAAGTTCTGTGCAAGCCTGGGCTACATAGTAGTTCAAGGCCAGAATGAACTGCTTAGTGAGACCCCATATCAAAAGGCAAAACAAAACAAAACAAAATACACACAAAAAACTACAGTGAGACAGATCAGAAGGTATGGCCTTGTGTCTTCTTAATACAGCTGACATTTTCTTTTTCTTTTTTTCCATTTTGAGTCAGGGTCTTGCTATGTTGCCCAGGGTAGGCTTAAACTCTTGGACTCATGCCATCCTCCTGCCTCAGCCTCCTGAGTAGCTGTTACCACCACACTCAGCTATGTCATCATTTTCAGTGTGAGTGTATCTGACCACCAAAAGGAAGCACCTTAAGCTCTCCTGCCTCACTGGTATTAATGTCATTTTGCTGTACCAGGGACTGAACTCAGAAACTTGTGCTGCAAGGCAGGCACAGTGCAACTGAGCTAAATTCCCAGTCCTCCTGCCTCTTTTGGGAAGCAGAGGGATCTTGCTAAATTGCTGCCTCTTGCTTTTTGTCTCAGAACTAGGAGTGCTTTTGAAACCATCAGCTAAATTAGACTTAGCCAGCTCAGAAAGCTGAGGCTGGAGGATCCTGAGTTCAAGGCTAGCCTTAGCAACACAGTGAGGCCAAGTCTCAAAATAAACAACAAACAAAATAGAAAAAGAAAAGGAAACCACATTCACTGTAGAAAATTTGAAAATACTAAAGTTTGAAGAAAATAACCCAAACTACTCATGAGATAACAACTCACCATTAACATTTCATTTTATCGCCTTCCTGTCTTAGTCTTTCTCTAGAAACTACAGTTTACATGTTATATTTTAGTTATGCATGTATGAGAGTATATGTTCCATTTTCTGTGCTAGTTTTGCTTAGCAAATTTTGTGTTTTTTATGCTTGAACGAGTCTTTTGCACTTTGGTTGTGTTTGTCTCTCTGTTATACATTTACTTGGTAGAGGATCTTTGTTTCTGGTCAGCATGGGACCTTTGGCCACATTTCATTTATACGGCAAATGGGCAGATGGGAACATTATAGCACTTTTCCGATTCTTATCAAAGTATCTTAGTGCATGTTTTTTCATTTTAGTCTAATGTATAACCTGATTATGCCTATGCAAGACAGGACAGAGTAGCGATTCTAGTTTGTTTCAGTAACTTTCATAAGGACTTGGACTTGCCCTTGGACTGTTCCATTAAACATACTCATGCCATGTTATGCAATCCTTTAAAATGATTTTCAGAGAATCCATTGTCATTTGGTCCAGTACTCAGAACTGCCAGTTGTCACAGCCGTGTTTATATAAATGGTGACCTGATGATGGTCTCTAGGGTTCTTGATTGGCTGTGGTTGTAAGTTGAATACATTTAGGGAACTGTCACTGAGGAGATGGAATCAGCCCCCCTCCCCTGCCATCAGTCATGATCACTTTAGTGCTCTAGACCTGGAACATCATTTGTGTGATTTTGTTTTTAGAAACCGTAGGTTAGTGGGCACTGGGATGGATGCTTATCAGGGTCAGTTGGGAAGAAATAGGTTTCCCAGATGGTTGATGCCCATAAAATTCACTAAGCAATGTGGGACAATAATTAAAGACAACTATCTGAAAATGGATGTGGTGGCCCATGCCTGTAATCCCAGTACTCAGAAGGCTGAGGCAGGAGGATTACCACAAGTTTGAGGCCAGCCTGGGCTCCCTAGTGAGTTCAAGGCCAGCCTGAATCACATAGTGAGACCCTGTCTCAATATAGACAGACAGACAGACAGCTATCTGAAGATTCAGAAAAGATTCCACTTTTATCTCAGTCCCTTAAAGAAAAGCCTGGCTGGTAGAAAACACATCAGTAGCCATCACTGCCAAATCCATACTTCATGTCAGTTCAATTGCCAGTTGTAGGCATTATGTGCTTAAAGAGTTCAATTTAGGCAGAAAATTTTTGTTCAAAAATTTTTTCTTGTTTTTATCATTTTTGGTTGGCTCTGTTGCCTTGGCTCAAAAGTGTTTCAGCTTCTGACAGAAGAAAATGTTATAATAGAGCAAAGTACAGATTATTATTTTTGAAATGTGTGTGTGGGTGTGCACGTGCACACATATGTGCACGTTTTTGTGGTACTTTGCACTGAGCTACATCCTTACGCTTTCTTTGTTTTTTGAGACAGGGTCTCGCTAAATTGCCAGGCTGAACTTGAACCTGAGATCCTCCTACCTAGCTTTAATTTGTGAGCTTTCTAAGTCAGAACCTCTTAGTGAAGGCTGACTTACTACTTGATCAGAGGATAAGGGCATAAGCTGTTCATCTTAGAAGCACCTATTCCTACAATGGACTAAAATGGACTTCAGAGCCCTTGACCTTAACATTAGAAAGGTAGCGATGACAAACTACTAACTACTCATCTGTAATAATTGTCAAATTGATTATACATATCTAAGACACCAAGTACTGAGTTAACTGCTTTAATGTTTTCTCTTAGTCCATCTTTCTCCCACCCTCAGAGGTAGTTAAGTGATAATTTCCATCTTGTAGACGCAGAGAGGCTAATGGCTTTTCCAAGGTTATGGACCCAGGAATGGCAGAGCCACCTCACAGGTTTACCTTATCGCAAACAACATGTGGGCTCAAGCTTTAAGATTGTGCATTATTTCATGGTGATTATCCTTTAATCTGTTGGCAAATCAAAGATGAGGCTATTTTACTTGCTCTAGTTCACTGACATTTTCATAAACCAATATTAATCCATGAGTTCAGGTAGAGGGTATGAACTTTTTCTTCCTTACTCCTGTTTCCTTCTCAATTTAGGGTTGGGTAGGCCTAAATATATTAAATTGATGTGTCTTTAATTGCAAGAAGTTCAGGTTTCTTCTGACCATTTAAATAATTTAAAAACTCTACAGACAAATCTCACTTATGCTCAAATTTTAAATAAAATATTAGCAAATAGAATAAAGGACTAAGCTGGGCATAGTGGTACATGCCTGTAATCACAGCAGTTGGGAGGCTGAGGCAGGAGGATTGCTGCCAATTCAAGACCAGCCTGAATTACATATTGAGAACCTATCTCAAAAAAAACAAAAACAAACAAACCCCCAGCACCACCAAAAAAAAAAAAAAAAAAAACCCAAACCAAAGATAAACATATACAAAAAAAGAAAGAATAAAGGACTAAATTTAAATTTCAGTAGAATTTGAAATATTACTGAATAGAATCCGTAAGCTGATTTCAGTAGAGCAAAGTTCTTTGCAGAAATGGTTTTAAAATGCGATTCAAAATATATAACCAACCCTAAATAGATTTAAAAACTTATGATCAATGTAATAATGAAAAATGCATTTGAAAAAATTCCATATCCTATTTATTTATTTGTTTGTTTTTAAATAATAGTATTGGGAATTGAAACCAGGGAGCACTGAGCTACATCTCCAGACCTTTTGATTTTTATTTTGAGATAGCTGAATTAATTAATGTTGGACAACTAAGAGCTATAGAATTTAAAGCAGAGGAGACAAAATTATTATTATTTGCAGGAAACAGCTTTATTTCAAGAGAATTCACTATAGTGACTAGAAGTAAAAGGAGTAATCAGAATGGTAGCTATTTTCAAATTTAGTATAACAAATATAAAGAGAGCATAATGGAAGGAATAATCTCTTAAACCACAGAACTACTGTTAATAAGAAATACATCTTCCCTATATAAAAAAAACTTTTAAAACTCTACTGAAGATATTAAAATGTAGGGGGTTTTTTTCAGCTGCCTGCCTGCCTGCCTGTCTGC